GAAAATTTCAGTCAGCTTTTGTATTTTGTTTTCAGTCACCTACCTCCACCTTGTGAATCTCAGCTGGAATAGAATCAGCACCTGGTGCTTTGACACACAAAAGGAGCCTAATGGCATTCAAAACCTCTTCTTCAGTTGGAACTTCAACTGAGGGGTATTGACTTCAACCTGAGGTAAATGGTCAATGGCTTCAACATTGATTGATGACTGCCTGTTGAGAACACTAAGGAAGTGTTCATCCCATCTCTCTAGGATCATATCCTTATCACTAATCAATGTGGCTCCATCAGCACTGAGTAGTTGAGATACACCATAGGTCTGTGACCCATAAATAGCCTTCAGGGCATCATAAAAGCCCTTTGGATTGTTACTATCAGGATAAAACAGAATTCCATCTGCCTTCTTATTGAGGCAAGAATCCTGCATCTCTCTAAGATTCATTTGTACTTACTTTTGATGGAATTAAATGCTGTCTTCTTAGAGATGGATGAACTATCCTGCTAGTAAACCCCATGAAGTTCTCATTTTTCATTTAGCAGCTTCTGAATTTCCCCAATCATTTTTGTCAAACCAGTCTTGATGTTTGCAAGTGTTCTGACCCAGATGAGCAAATGCAGTGCTGTACACCAAATCTCTGAAAGCTGCCCACTCCTTTCCTGCTCCACTTGGCTCAACATTCCCTCCAACTTAGCAACCAACTGTTCCCACTCAGGGAAGCACTCTAATCTGTTGACATTCATTCTTCTGGTAAACATTTTGCCTTGGGGCAGCTGCTTTTGTTGAATGTGAAAATTTAGTTTGAAGAAGATAAATCTATGATCAGTCCAGCACTCTTTACTACACATCATTTTTGTCCCTCTCACATTCTGTCTGTCTCTGTTCCTTACAATCACATATTCTATTCAATGCCAATGTTTGCTGTGAGGGTGCATCCATGAAGTTTTATTGCCTTTAGGTAAATGGAAGACAGTATTGATAATGAGAAGGTCATGGGTTGCACAAGTCTTCAGTAGTAAATGACCACTGCTGTTGCTGTTTCCAACTCCATTCCTCCCAAGGACTCCATGCCATGTCTGGTAGTCTGAGGCTTGCCCTCTTTTGGTACATTGATAATAAGGGTCTCCAGGTCTTCACAAAATTTTTCTCTGATCTCATCAGCATTCGTCATGGTGGGAGTATAGGCACTGACGATGGTGGTGTGGCTTGTCCTGCTAGTGGCAATTGCGTTGTCATAAATCTGTTGTTCACTCCTTTTGGTAGGCATACAAGCTTGTTGACTAGATTAGTTTTGACTGCAAAACCTACACCAGATTCACGGGGTTCCCCTGTACTGTGACTACTCCAGAAAAACATGCACTCATCTCCAACTTCAGTAAGCTGGTCTTCATCTGCCAGCCTTGTTTCATTCAGGGCTGCTATTTGGATGCACACATGCTGAGTTCTCTCACAGTAACAGTTATTTGTCTTTCAGGTCTACTGGAAGGGAAATATCTGGGTCCCATCCCATCATGACTCAGGTACTATAACACAATGCCATTTTCTTATGCTCAACAGTAGGGAACCCTACTCAAAATTTCTGTTCCCAAGGAGCATGTGCACTAATGGAGGATGGCATAAGAGCTAGCAATCCCTCTAAATGCATCACATTAACGTGAGGTTCTTATGGTCTTGGAGCTGATGGATAGAGGACAGAAGGCTTCCTGAATGAGAAGCATTAAGCTAGGCCAATTTTTTTTCCTAAGCTCTGAAAAGAATGAAAGAGTGAGGCATCATAGGGGGGAAATATCCCTTTAGCCAACCTAATCTGTCCTTTTCCAAAAAAAACTCCACTATCCCCACTCTGGGAGGGAATGGAAGAAAAGACATACTAAAGTTCTATGACACTATTATCCCTTAGTTTGGACCCACTGTTGGCAACTATTATAACCGACTTGACTCCTACACATGGGTAATTTGATGCATAATGAGGCCAATACTTTGTCAGAAGCTCTTGCCACAGTCACTACAGGGCACAGGGCTTTTCATCTGTGTGGATTTGCTGATGGATAGCCAGGCCTGCTTTCTGACCAAAGCTGGCTTCACAAGTTCCATAGGCATGGGGTTGTTCACGTGTGTGTGTTCACTGGTGGTTCACCAGAATTGAATGAAGCCCTTGCCACAGCAGTAGAGTCTCTCACCTGTATGGGTCTTATGATGGCAGTTCAGAAAAGAGCATTGACTAAAGGTTTGCCACACTCATGGCATCTGTAGGGCTCTTCACCTGTGTGTGCTCACTGGTGCCTAGTACAGTACACCTACTGAGTGAAATCCTTTCCCCACTGGGGGCAGGCATAGGGCTATTTGCCTATGTGAATGCACTGATGGTGGACTAGGTCTGGCTAAAGTGTTTGCCACAAATGACATAGCAGTGGGGCTGCTCACCTGTGTGGGTTTTCTGGTGCCGTGCCCAGATTGAGCTTTGCCTGCAATGCTTGTCACACTCACTACAGCTAATTAGCCTTTTCCCCAGTGTGTGTCTGCTGGTATTTGATAAGGTTGGACCTCCAGCTGAAACTCTTGCCACAGTTACAGCAGATGTAAGACATCTCAGGCCCCTTGCTCCCTGCTCTTTGGTAGGGCTGGAGTGGACAGCAGCAACCCTGGCTGTGGTAGGGTCTGAACCCTATCACCTGCTTCTATACTTGACCCTGCCTTGGTCTCCTTTTTCATTTCATTACCTGAAAAGAAGGACAGAAATGATTTACAGCACTAGAGAGAGCTGCCCTAGAACAAAGCCACTGAATTACAGACTGTTAGAGTTAGAAAACAATTCCAAATAGGGAAACTGAGGACAATAGAGGAGCAGTGACTTGACCAAGACCACACAGGGAATAAATAAGTGTCAGAGCTAGAAACCAAATTTCCACACTTAGTTCCGTGCTTTTCCCATTATACCATGACACCTCTCAAGGCCCAAAATAGGTTAGAAAGGATAAAAAAAAATCAAGCTACAGGCAAAAGCAGACAACACAGTGGATAGAGTGCTGGATCTAGAGTCAGTAAGCCTCACCTACCTGAGTTCAATCGGCCTCTGACACTTAATAGCTGTGTGACCCTGGGCAAGTCACTTAACCCTGTTTGCCTCAGTTTCCTCATCTATAAAATGAGCTAGAGAAGGATATGCAACCAATCTAGTATCCTTGCCAAGAAAACCCCAAATAGGGTCATGAAGAGTCAGACATGACTAAAACAATTCAACAATAAAAAAAGAATCTGATAAGTTTGGGAGCTGGAAATGGAAATAGAGAAGAAGGAAGAAGGGAAGAGGAATCAGTCCAGAAGCTGGCTGAGAACAAGGACTATTTCCTACATTGAAATGCTCCTTTCAGGAGCAAGAAAACATTTTTTCCTCATTAGATCAGAAGGTCCCTAGGGCAATGATGTTCTCAAAGAGGACCAAAATGACAACACTATGTTGGAATCAAGGTACAGTGTGTACAACTGTGGCTGATCAGACCAATATGAACTCAGAAGGCTTTACCACAGATCGGGCACAAATAGTTCACACAGAGTGGGGATGTCTCTCTCTAAATTCACGCATCTCATGTTTCTTTAGAGCTACTGCAATTCTGCTTTGCTCACAGAGCACAGAGCCTTCTTTGACGCAGGCACGCAACGTTGGGCGGTCCCTTGCCAGTGTCTCCCACGTCAATCAATTCCAAAGTTCTTAAGAGAGACTTTGAGGGTGTTGTTGTATCACTTCTTCTGACCACCATATGAATGCCTGTCTTGTGTGAGTTCTCCATAAAATAGTCTTTTAGGCAAACGTATGTTTGGCATTTGAACAACATGGCCAGCCCATCAGAGTTGCACTCTATGTAGAGTTTGAATGCTTGGCAGTTTAGCTCAAGAAAGGACTTCGGTGTCTGGTACCTTATCTTGCCAGGTGATCTTCAGAATCTTCCTAAGACAATTCAAACGGAAGTGATTCAGTTTCTTGGTATGGCACTGGTATATTGTCCAGGTTTCACAGGCATACAACAGTGAGGTCAGCACAATAGCTCTGTAGACCTTCAGTGTGGTAGGCAGCACATTAAGAGGTAACAGTGTAGAGGGTGAATACTTGTTCTCTGCCCATATACATACCTACTGTGTGACTGGGACAAGTTATATCAGCTCTCTGAGTCCCAGTTTCCTTACCTATAAAATGGAAAGGCTGAACTAAACCAGGGGTCAGCAACTACAGCAACAGTAAAATGTCAAAAACCATTCACAGCTCACGGCTGTACAAAAACATGTGATGGGGCCAAAGGCGGCCTGATAGCTGTAGTTTGCTAACCCCTGGTTAGTACTTGATTATTTCTCAAGTCACTTCCATCTGTAACTTTCTATGACTCTGGGTCTGGGTACATTTCTTTGCTCTGTATCTCCTGTGGTGAGTCAAAGTAAAACCTGGGTTTGAATCCCACCAGGCTCTTCCACTGTATATGACCCCGGACAAATAATTTAACCTCGGGATCTTAATGTCCTAGTATATATAGCATGAGTGAGTTATACTAGATGGCTTCTAAGATCCCTCCTTCAGGTCTTTGTACACAGAGGAGCAATCTGTTCATGGTGCTGACAAAATCACTCCCATTCTCCAAGGCCTACAGGAAGGATATTATTACCCAGTTTCCCTTGATCACTGTTCCTTATGTCTTTTCCAGTTCCTTAAAACTGGAAGACTATTAGTGAAACCTAACTTAATTCCCCCTGTTGCACCAGCCATTCTTCTCATCCCATTGGTGATAGCCAAACTCTTCAGAAGCAGAAAGACCTTAATTCAATGCATTTTCTCACGTCTCCTTTTTTTATTCTCTCCAAGAAATCAGAGTGAGAGATTCCTCTATAGACAGTCAAAGATAGCCTATAAACTCAGAAACAAGTAAGTGGGTGGTTTCAAAGGAATGAAGTTGACTATGTCCAATTGTCAAAGTCTTCTGCCCATCTCCCTCCTAAATATCATCTGCTGTTCTCACCTTTTTCTCTGAGGCAGAGAAGCTAAGAGCCAGAGACAGCAGAAGGCCCATTTACTTAACCATTCTCCAGTAAAGGGTTATGGTTCCTGATTAATGTGGTGGTTCAGCTCCCCCAAAACATTTGCTTGGAGGATTGATTTTGTCCTGCCTTCCTGGGATGCATCCTGAAGCAGACTTCCTGACAACTCCCATATAACTTCTAAGGACACCATCTCCTGCAAGGGCAAAACCTGTCCAAGAAATTTTCACCATGTTAGAGTTTAACTTGGGAGGTAGTTAAGCCCAGGACTCTACTCCCCTTCTTTCCTGATCCTTACTGCAAGAGGAATTCATGTTATATTATATGAAGAAGTCTAAAGGTAGTCATTGGTCTATTCAGTGCTTCTTAAATTGTGGGTCATGACCCCATGGCAACAATAAAAGATTTCTGAAAATGCAATGACCAAAATTTAATTAAAAATCAAAAGTGAAATGAATCTGAGGTGTTTCTGGCAGTTCTTGCCCATGTTGCATCATGCTGCATCACCGCAGCCCTGGTTCTGAACACAAAACATGTGCTCTTTGCACTGCACATGCCCTCAGGCCATGCAATGCCAATGAACACTGCAAGTGGAAAATGTTTAAGAAGCCCTGGCTTATCACCTGGTTTATCAGTGCAATCTCTTTTGGAGAGATTCTAAATCTCTTCCATATTATTTAGAATTTTTTCTAGAGATTTTATGGAAGGGATAAATAATATGGAAGGAACATAAACCATCTTAACATCAAGGAGAGGGGTGCAATGACCTCTCTCATTCTCCTCCAGCATAACTCATTGAATATCTCCCTCAAGCCAGTTACACCTGTAACTTTGGTTTCCTCCCTGTATCTTCCACCAGGATTTCTGCCTCTTCACCATTCCCTGGAAACTGGCCCCTCACCCAAGTCTGGAGTTAAGAAGGCTCCTAAGAAACTGTTCCTGGAACCAGCAATTCTCAGATTTGTTCTTTTGTGTGAATCTCTGGCCTCAGCCAGAGATTCAGTGATTGAGTTCCTGGGATTGATTCAATAATTCCTCATGTCTGAAGCAGTGGAAACTTTGGCAAGATGATTCAAAACTTAGGTTATCCTCCTGTGGGACACAGTCTTGTCCCTAGGAGCTATTCGAATATCTTTTCTTCTTCCACTTTCACAATCATAAGACCATCTTGTTCCACAATGTTTAGGACAGTAGCCATTGCCCAGTTTAGAGTACCAGAAAATGAAATTCTCCCTAGAAGAGAAAAGTGGGGTAGAAGTAGGCAATTCCCTCCATCACCTATCAGTAGTGATATAGTGGAAAGAAGGCATAGAACATACATAGAACATCCATTATTTGCTATCTATGCAATCTTAGGCATGTCCCTTTAGCTATAGGAGAAAGATGCTGAGCTAGATTTAATTCAAAGAGCATTATTTATTAACCACCTACTATGTACCAGGCACTGTGCTAGATGTTGGTGTCAACTCTGAAAACAAATGACCAAAACGTCACAGAGGTTATCAAACTGCTGCCACCTCAAAAAATAAAAGTAAAATGAAATGCCAGAGAGTTCACACATGTTATTACAGCCACAGGTAACTGTAAGAAATAAAATAAAATAAAAGCAAAGTAAAAAATAGGGCTAACAGTGGTCATAAGCAAAAAACTTTCTTTATTCCATTGGAGGAGAGAAACTAGACGTGTGCTGGGCCTCCTCTAATAGAAGACCCACATTAGCATGGGTTAATCTCTATACATACCCTAGTGGCTATACAGTGAGCTGTAGCCCTGACAATGAGGGGTAACAGCAACAATGAGACACATTTGACTCATAGCAGAGCTTTGTGACTGGAACATGGGTCCTGCAGGTGCTTGTCCAAGTTCAAGGACCACCTGGTGCTGGTGCAAAACAATTCTGGAATTTTGCTGCAGCAGAGTTCTTCAAGAGGGTTAGCACAAAAGATTGTTGTTATGCCAAGCTCAGAGCACAGTTGCTTCTTGGGCTTTTGCTTGGAAAACAGGGTATCTCTTTTTGAGGAGGCTGGTCTTGGCATGGGAATCCTGACATTGGGGATACAAATACTAATAAAAAAAAACTAAACCGTTTCTGCCCTCAAAAAATTTCTGGAAGAGCTCAAAAATCAAATAAGAGGTAGAGAAAAAAATTGGGGAAACAAATGAGAATAATCCAAGAAAATTATGAAGAGAGTCAACAGTTTGGAAAAAAGACAAAAAAATACTGAAGAGAATAACATCTTAAAAAACAGAACTGGCCAAATAGTAAAAGAGGCACAAAAATATACTGAAGAGAACCCTTGAAAAAGCAGAATTCGACAAACAGAAAAAGTGATACAAAAACACTGAAGAAAAGAACTTCTTAAGAAGTCTCTCTCTTCTCTTCAGTCATTTTCAGTTGTGCACTACTCTTCGTGATCTCACTTGGGGTTTTCTTGAAGTGGTTTGCCATGTCCTTCTCAGCTTATTTTACAAATGAGGAAACTGAAGTGAACAAGGTTAAGTGCCCAGTTGCCCGGGGTCACAAAGCTAGTAAGTGTATGAGGTCAGACTGGAACTCAGGAACATGAGTCTTTCTGACTTCAGACCAGGAGCTCTATCCAATCTATCCAGGTGGAGACCTGGCCGCCCCTCCTTAAAAAGTGGGGGGGAAATGGTCAAATGGAAAAGGAGGCACAAAAGCTCACCCAAGAAAATAATTCCTTAAAAATTAGAATTGGGCAAGTGGAAGCTAATGATGAGATGTGAGATATCAAAAAACAAACAAAGTCAAAAGTGAAAAAAATAGAAGAAAATGTGAAATGAAAAAACAACTGAACTGGAAAGTATATCAAGAAGAGATAATTTAAGAGTTATTGAATTCCCTGAAAGCTAAGCTCAGAGAAAGAGCTTTAGACATCATATTTCAAGAAATGATCAAAGAAAATTGTTCTGATATCCTAGAACAAGGGTGGAGAACCTGCAGCCTAGAAGCCAGGTATGGACCTAAGGGTCCTCAAGTGAAACCCTTTGACTGAATCCAAACTTCACAGAACAAACCCTCTTAATAAAAGGGTTTGTTCTGTAAAACTTACTCAGTTAAAAGGCCACACCCAAAGACCTAGAAGGCCATACGTAGCCCCAAGCCCACAGGTTCCCTACCCCTGTCCTAGAACCAGAGGGTAAAAGAGAAAATGAAATAATCTACCAATCACCTCCTGAAAGAGATCCCTGTTAGGGATCTGTAGGACGTTGAGGGCCACAGGCTGTTCATGAGACTTCACTGATGGGTGGAGGCCCCTCTCAGGTGTTAGTACATGAGCAGAATATCCTGGCTGGGTTCCCCGTCCACAGACCTTGCACCTTCCAGTCAGCAAAACTCTGACGATAGGCAAGCTCAAACTATAAAACAATGTTGCTAGCTCAAGCACAGTTAGCTCTAGCACAAATATGTATCCAGTATTGCTAACTTATATATCAAGTATTGCTAGCTCACATATCAAGTATTGGGAACATTCAGGGAACAAGAAGTACATGGTGTTTTTACGGGAACAGCACAGGAGAAGGACACAGTCAGGATAATGTTGCAAAGAGATGTGCTTGTTGATACTTTGATTGCTATTCGCATGAGAAAAGTTCTCAGTGTTGCCTATTGGTAAAGATATGTAAACTTTGTTGCTTTGTCCGCTGTTACATTGGGGTATGTTCCCATGAGTCAAAGATATAAAACGCTGTCCTGTGCCTTGAATAAACGGAGCTTCACCATCTTGTCTCCCTGCCTCTCACTGCTTGGCACAGGGTATCACAGGAACTAAGCTGGCCTTAGCATTCCTGGGGAGGGAGAGTTTAAGACTCTCACAGCCACTGAGCTGGATGCACGCAGATCCCAAAATGAAAACTCCTGAAAATATTATAGACAAATTTCAGAGCTTCCAAGTCAAGGAGAAAATAATGCAAACAGCCAGAAAGAAACAACTTAAATATCATGGAGCCATCAGAGTCAGGCAAACACAAGATTTAGCAGCTTCTACATTAAAGGACTGGAGGATATGGGAATATGATAATACTGAGGGCAAATTATCTACCCAGCAAAACTGAGTATAATCCCTTCAGGGGGGAAATAGATATTCCATGAAATAAGAGAACTTTCAAACGGTCCTGATGAAAAGACCAGAGCTGAACAGAAAATCTGACTTACAAATACAAGACTCAAAAGAAGCACAAAAAGGTAAACATGAAAGAAAAATCAAGATGGATTTAATAAGGTTAAACTGTTTACATTCCTACAGGGAAGATGATATTTGTAACTCCTAAGAACTTTATCATTATTAAGACAGTTAAAAATACACACAGATAGAAGGCACTAGTATGAGTTGATATGATGGGATGGTTTCAAAAAAATAAAATCAAGGGGTAAGAAAGAAAGATGCATTTGGAGAATGGGGAAGGGAGAGGCAGAATGGGGTAAATTATCTCACATAAAAGAGGCAATGAAAGGAAGTTTTTTACTGTGGAGGAGAAAAGAGGGGGGTTGGCAGGTAACACTTGAATGGTACTGTCATCAGAATTGCCTCAAAGATGGAATAACATACAGACTCAGGTATAGAAATCTATCTTGCCCTTCAGGGAAGTAAAAGAGGAGGGAGATAAAAGGAAATTGGGAAGGGGGAATGAAAGGAGGGCTGCTTGAGGGAGACAGTAATCAGAAACAAAACAGACTTTTGAGGAGGGGCAGGCTAAAAGGAGAAAATGGAAAGATAAAAAGAAAAATAGGATGGAAGGAATACATAGTTAATAATCATAATTGTGAATGGGAATGGGAAGAACTCACCAATAAAATGGAAACATAGCAGAATGGATTAAAAAACAGAATCTGATATTATGTTGTTTACATGAAACATACTTGAAGCAAAGAAACACACAGAATAATGTAAGGGCTGGAGCAGAATCTATTATGCTTCAGCTGATGTAGAATAGTATGTCTGAGTTACTGGTCTCCATCCTGTCCCGCTGACCCTCATGCTACCACCTCACTACACCTCCCTGTATGACATGCAAGAATCTGCAAGTGTGTGGGAGTAATTGTGTATCATAATAAAAGTATGTTTTCCTGTCCCTGCAGCTGGGACACTAGATCCCTCTGACATCAAATGTCTCTGTATCTCTCCAGCTCATTCTCTCTCCAGAGTCAGCAGTACCCTGAGAATATCTTGTGGGGTGGGGAACGGATAACCC